AGATAAATAGTATGAATGTTACATATCTACTTCACAATAAGATTTTTTAAAACAAAAAATGTTATAAGGTTATATAGACACATTTTAAAATTATCCTGGAGTAGGGAAAGCATTCCCAGTCAATGCTCCAAAGACAGAAAACCATAAAAAAAATGATTGATACATTTCAGTAACATTAATTTGAAAGTTTTTTTTCTATGTCAGAAAAAACAAATAGACAAACATGGGAAACATCTGCAACATTAACTAGGTGTTAATATGCTTACTGTTAAAAAAAAGTTCTTACAAATAAATATTTTAAGGCTTCTCATTTAGGTATAAATAAGGCATAAACAGGCAATTCACCACGGAGGAAATATAATTGACCAGTACACGTGTAAAAAGTATTAGCCCATACTAAAAGTCAACTGAAAATAACATAAACCAATGTAGATTTTTCAATCTATTAAACTGGCAAAATAATAATCAGTGTTGGTAAAAATCTAGGGCAAAGTAAATTTTAGAGGTCTTGCAATGTTCATTTCTCAACCTTTCACAAGTGCAATTGGCAAGACAAATCCAGAGTTTAAGAGTGAATTTCCACTTCTAGAAATCTAACTTGAAGGGATAATAATGGACGCTCAGAGCAGCTTTGTTTTTGAAACTAAACTAAACCAAACCAAACCAAACCAAAAATGTTACGATCTCACGACCAAAACAGTGAACTGCTGAAATCAATTACGGTACACTCAGACAACCGAATACAAGACAGTCTTGAAAATATTTAATATAATGGAAATGTTTACAACCTATTGTTTAATTAAAGGTAGATACAAAGCAGCATGTACAGTATGACTTGTTTAAAAAAGGAAGACGACATATACATATATGCAAAAGTAATATACTAAAAAATAAAACATAAAACGAAAATTTTTCTTCTTAGGCAGGAGATTATGAGTGAGTTTTACATCCAGTTATTTGTACATTTTCTACAATGGTCATCTTTTCTAGTAAAAATATATTGCTTACACTTATTTACATATATTTTGGGGGTGGGGAAAAGCAAGAGAACAAGTTTACAAAATCCAAAATGCCAAACACCCTGGGGAGGGGGGGGAAATTAAGCCTCCATACTGTATGAGCAAAATGCCTATATTCAATCATCCAAAGCAAATTATTATTTAGGAACTATTCGAAAATAGATAATTTGAAAATATTTTAAGAACAAAAGTGATGGTGTATCAAAAATTACTTTTTCCAAGAATGTATGTATATGTATAACTGAATCACTTTGCTGTAAACACAACATTGAAAATCAACTATACTTCAAAAAATAAATTTTTAAAAAAGAACTCAGGTAAAATAAGAACTTTAGGCCAATGAACTTAAGAATTTTCTTTATGAAAAAAATCACTTTTTCCTATCATTTGCATTTTGGGTTAAACTTAGTGTTATTTAAAGAATCATAAATTAGAACCTCAAACTATCTCAGAAAGACAATAGTGTTGAGAACATGTGTCATTTAAACTTCTCTGAAACTACTTAAATTTCTTTCAAAAAATATAACCGTTTAAAACCAAATATATATTTTTTAATATTAAAAAAATTAATCCTCCATTTCAGTAATTCCCTGGTTAAAATCGGGGGACACCCTGAACCTCGAAGGTGCCACTCAGGTCCCAGAGAGCATCATTCCTCCAATCATCCCAGCTGTTAGCAACATCCGGGAAATCCCAAGAGAGTAAAAGCTAAGTATTAAAAAACAACAACAACAACAACAACCCAACAAAAACCGTATCTCAGCGCCAGGGCTGCAACTGGCACGGTTGCAGGAACCCCGTCCGAAAGACAAGCGCAGTACTCAAGCCAGGGTCTGAATCCTTTCACCAGACCCGAATCCAGCTGTCCCAGCTGCGCTTACGCTACCTGCGCTCACCACATCTTCGACCCTCACGGGCTGGTGCTTCTGGGGCGCGCCGACGAAGGCGGGGCGCATGCGTGAAGAGTCCTAGGGCCCCTCCCAGCTGCGTTCTGTAGCTGCACGTGCGGCGGTCCTGCACGGGGGAGGTGCGGAGTTGTAGGAGAAGGCCGTGGTGTCCGTTAAGGCCCAGCGCTCTTGGGAGCCGCTCGGGACCCCGGTTTCCGTAGGTAGCCAGGCACCTGCCTTTCATTATGAGCCGGAACCCTCCCTCGCCAGGCCCTGTTCCTCGAAGTGGTCCACAAAGGTCATTAAGGCCTCCATCCTTCCTCGACGCGGTGGGATCAGATTGCCAGATTGTGCTTAAGTGGAAGCACATGCTCTTTGTACCCCCGTTTGCAGAATTTTTGTGGGCCCAGTTTGTACTATGTAGTTGTAATAATTGTTTTGGGGGGCAGCGGACTGGCAAGTTATGTATGTGCACCTGCCTTTATATGCCTTTAACTCTTGGCTGCCTTGTAGCTTTAATGGAATTTCACGAATGATACGTTATGTTGGGTTTCCCTGATACACAGCTAAAACCAAAACCAAAAACAAAACGGTGTCACAGTTATTTTTATACAAGTGCCGAAAGTAATCATCCATTGTGCACCGCAGCAGATGCGGTATTTTTGTTGTTTTAATGCAGTTTATCAAATTAATGTGCAGATGGTAGGACTGGCTTTGACTTTGTTACTCCAAACTGAACACTTGGGCTTGTGGGATTAATTTTAGAATGTTTAAATTTTGTTTTGTTTTACTCGACTCAATAATACTATTGCTTGTACAGGAATTACTTTTACAAATAAAAATGGACATGTAGCCAATGTTTCCTGCCTCCACTCCTGCTTTCTATAGATCTTTTAATTTTTAAACATGATTTGATCTGGGACTAAGTTTCTTTTAAAGGTTTGTCATTATTTCTTTATAGATGATTCCAGTTCAAGATATTTTTCAGATTAATACATAGACAAACTGTCACTGTGGAATAAAGATACATACTGAACAATTTTACATTTAAGGATGTCTATATATGAAGTACATAATCATTGGTAAAAGTCTAAGAAAGCTATGTTGCCTCTAACATTTAACTATAGTTTCTTACAGCTTTTATTGTGTCTCTTACATTATATAATGTAGGCAGGACCATCTAATTTGCTGTTTTCTAATACTTCCATCCACTCTCCAAAAAAATTTATTAATCATGAGGTTGGAAAATCTGTACTTCTCTTGGTCACTGTGTTAATAGTCCAATGTCTAAATTTGACAGGTCTGTCTGGGAAGAAAACTTATAATGCTACATTATTGTAGTCTATGTTTTTATATTATACTTGAGATCTATATATTTACACATAACAATGTGTTTTTAATTAAAATAATGTATAAAGACTAAAAAAATTATAGCAATTTAGTCCTACTGAAAGTAACATGTGCATCATTTGGCCCCTTTGGTGGCCTCTAGGGATGTCAGTCTCATGCTCTGTGGGGTATTTCAGCCAAATCTGGAAGTGGCTGGAGGAGTCAGAAACTAAACGTCCAGCTGGTCCAGCTGGCTGTGTGGTGGCAGCGGAGGAAGGACTAGTATTTCCAGGGCAACTGACAGGGACTGGGGAGGTGGGCAGCATGGAGGGAATCTGAGGAGGCACCGTGATGTGCAGCCAATATAGGCACTGTGCTATGAATACCACTCGGATTCTTATTTGTGTTTATATTTAAGATCTATCCACATTGCCTTGTTAGTTCCACTTTATTACTTTTGATTTTTACTTGGATAGTATGTAGCATAATGTATTTACTAATTCACTTAGTGATGGGCATGGTACATTGCCTCCAACTTTTTACTAAGATAAACAATGCATTATGTCCCCCACGCCTACTCCTCTATCCAAGTCTGACTTCTCAAGGAATACCCAACACACAGTACCAAGCTGAGTGCTAGCAATTAGTAAATATTTAATAAACACTTTGGAAACTGATTTATGGAGGGCCTCAAAATCCAGATAGTGTGTTTATTTGACTCTAAGTCAATTTGCTGAAAATAAATATACAGAAAGCTACTTCCAGAGAGAAAAATTTGTCAAAATCCAATTTTCCAAAAACAAATGCTCTAAATTACCAGTTTGATGAATAGTTGAGGCCTATTAAAAAGTCTGAGCTCTGCTCGTGCTTAAAGCCTTCTGTGAGGTGAGCCAAGGAGCAGAGGCAGAGCATGAGTATACAAAAATAGAGATGAACTGAAAACTCCGTTTAAGAAAAATTTCACTAATCTTTGTATCAAGTGCCTGGGGCAGATGCAAAACTAATGCTTTGAAAAAAATCTATTTGGCAAACTCGCTTTTAACTGCTAGTAACAGACACAGAAATATAAATAAAACTGGTTTTATTTCATAATAAGCTGTCTAGAGATAGGCAGCGGCTAGTGTCCGATCAGTAGTTTAACAGCTTGAGGACTGGCATCTCTGTGGCTCTTTTGGCCCATCCTTCCCTCGTGGTTGAAAGGACTACTGCAGCTCCAGCCATCACTTTGGTATTTCGGACAGAAAGAGAGGGAAGAGGTGCCCTAGCTGCATCTATCATTTTAATCAGGGAAGCAAAAGTTTTCCCAAAGGTTCCCTGGCCCCCCCACCAGCTGCAAGAGAGCCTGGAGAGAGTGAGCATTAAGCTTTCCCAGGTTCTTAGTGGAGGCAGATAAAGGGGAAGGGGATTGGGAATAAGTGGCAAGTTAACACCAACTCTATCGTCCTCAAATATAATTAACTTCTCTTTCAAAATAGGTAGTTAATATGTCAAGACATGTCTATCAACACTTTTAAGATTATAATTTAAAACTCAGTTCTGGGCTTCCCTGGTGGTGCAGTGGTTGAGAGTATGCCTGCCGATGCAGGGGACACGGGCTCGTGCCCTGGTCCAGGAAGACCCCACATGCCGCGGAGTGGCTGGGCCTGTGAGCCATGGCCACTGAGCCTGCGCGTCCGGAGCCTGTGCTCCGCAACAGGAGAGGCCACAACAGTGAGAAGCCCGCGTACCGCAAAACAAACAAACAAACAAAAAAAACCAAACTCGGTTCTGCATTCAATCATGAATATTTTTAACAGATGCATTTCAGCTATACTACTTTTCCTCTTTTTCTCCCCCTTAACATTTTAGAATGGGACTAAAGGGAAATTACTTAATCTTTCAAGAAAGAGTCGGGGAGAAAGTCAAAAGACCAACAGTAGCAAAACACTTTCAACTACTCTTCTGCTCCTTGTCCTTCCACACCAAAGAGCATCTGGAAAACATCCCCACATCCTTTGGCATTTAAAAACTGATACAGTTGACCAAAGTCCATGTGGTTTCCTCTGGCTCCATTAACACTGAATACTTTTTCTTCAAAAACTGAAAATTTTCTTTGTCTTTCCATTTCCTCATTTGTACCATCAAAAGCAATGTCTTCTCGATGGCGAATTAAAATTCTCTTCCAGTTTAATTTTCTGAGTCTGAAAGAAATTGTCAGAGTAGAAATTTTGAAAATGTGTTGTGTATTCTAAGGCACTGAAAATAGAAGTTATGAAACAGATTTCTCAGTGCCTTTTCCTAGAAGTAAAGAAATCTACTTTTATCTCACATGGATTTTATTTTAATCAAATATGATTCTGGTTATAATCCCACCCCCAAACTCACTTATTGCCATTATCACTGCCTTGTATTAGCATTTTAGAAATGTGGAAATTGCTGAATCTCGACCTCCCAAAGGGACTTCTCAGAAATGAGAAGATTAGAAACCCCCTTGTTTCACAGGGTTCACACAATTTACAGCATCACTAAGATGAGGGGAGAATCAGATCCATAGACATGGAGGGGACAGTAGACACCATCTTGGGCCGGGGCTCGATTTAACATCTATCTACAGAACATCTTCTTTGTGCCCTGTATCAGGTGAAGGGAGTGATGCTGATCATATGTGAGTGCTGTTTTAGACTGAGTCCCCATACATACTGATTTCCACATCTCTAGTATCGTGTTTAGTACTAAAATTATTGACAAGGCATACAAAAGTTGTGAAAGCCAACCTTGACCAGAATTCTTCACAGGCACTTTGTGGGCCTTCCACACAAACAACACCAGGTTTCCCAGGCATGCTAAACCCAGATAGGGAAAGCTCCTTTGCCCACTCTAGAATGTTCTTTCTTTTGCATTTGTTGTAGATGTGATGGCTGTAGATCCAGAGTCTTGTGAGAATGAGGTCAACTGGCTGGACTGTACTTCCTGGAACAGGGGAAGGTGTGTTGTCTTTGCTGACATAGTCAGAAGCGTGTTCTCTAACCCACTCTGTGGCATTCAATATACAGACATCTCCAAGACAATTCTTTTGTAGGTATGTGGTCAGATCTGTATTCAGCTGAGCCTGCTGGGATCTACTTAATAATACTGATCTGATGGAAAAGATACGGGATTAAAAAATTAAATCAATTTTCTTGGAACAGAAAACAAACTTGAGAATTGCTTTTATTCTCAGATTAGTTTTGACCTCTAGAATTGGCCAGTTTCTGTAACATACCTGACAGTAATTTCAGGCAGAACTGCAGGGTATTTAAAGGGAAGAACACAGGCCAGAGAAAACATCACCTGATAAAAAAAAAAAAAAAGAGAGAGGGAGAGAAAAAAATGCCGTAAGGGCTGTTTTAAGTTGAGACATGTTTCAAAAGTAAACATGAAACATGCTTCCAAAAGTAAAACTGAATTACCACTGCTTCCTCAGATATGTCCAGGTTCATAGTGATAGTAAAGTAAACTTTTGAAGATCGTCCTTCCATTGTCCTCTTTTCAATGCAATCTTTTAGTTCTGCTAAAGCCAGCTGGTCATTCACTATGAGCTCATTCACACCTGGGAACATACTGGCTAGCAGGTCTAACTCAGAGAGCTGGGCCTCTGCCTGTTCGATCTCAATCATTTTTGGATATCTGTAGGGTTCTAGGAAGATAGGATAATAGAGACATTTACAAGTATTATACAATCTTGGGAGAACTCAATATGGGTACTTACTGAATATGGAAACTTATTGAAAATTTGATTTCTTCATAAAATATGAAAGTTAATCAGAATACCTTCTGGCTATTCTACTTTCAGATGTAATATGCTAAGGACCCAAAGAACAGGACAATCCAATGAGAGCCATAAAACTCTAATAATAAGCAGGCACCAAATTCTTCTGTTTCTAGATAGTTGATGTGGCATCTTGAGCTGCCACAATGAGCAATTACATTGAAGTAAACTAATTATGTAGTCAAACGCCATATCAATGATATAACAAGGATAGAGGCTCTGACTGGTTACCTTGGAAAATTAGAATGAAAAGAATAAGTAAGAGAGTTAGTTATGTGGACGGTTAATTTTTCCTTCTTAACTTAATATTCGTTAGTTTTTTTAAAAAGTAGAAGAATGTGAAAAAGGGAGAATAAAGGCTAATTATCCCACAGCTCAAGTAACCCATGTTAACATTACAAAAAAAAAGTACAAGATTATAAAATTCAAATGGCAGAGAAAGGTTATAAAATGAAGATACAGTTTGCTGCTGGTGACTGCTTCCCCTATCTGTCCAAGTCCCCGATCCAAGGCAGAGTTTTAGGTGTTTCAGAAACAGAAAACATTTTAGGCATTATACATATATAGAAAACACATGTTGGTATAATGTGTAAATAAATGTAGAGAATTAAATATATAATTAAAATGTATCTACAGGGATCATATATACACATCTTTTTTCCTTACTTCCTATCCCTCTTCCCCCCAAATATATTTTGCAGATCTATTCACTGTCAGCACATATTGTTTTATCTCATTCTTTCTAGTGGTTGACTGTCATACTGAATCATGTAGATATGTCATAATTTATTGCGTCTGTTATCTACTGATGGGCACTTGGGTTGCTTCCAGATTTTTTCTATTATGAATACTTCTATAATGGTAGTTTTTATATATATATATATATATATATATATATGTGCATGTTGAACTGTGAATACTGTATATTCAAGAATCAGTCTGTAGAGGTGGCTGGTTGGTACAGCATTTAAAAATTTTGGTAGATATTGCCAAGTTGCCTTCCAGAAAGTTGCTACATGGAAGTTTAAAATTTTTACACAGTCCCCTCCTTTAAAAAAAATTCTTAATACATAGTCTTTTTATGGTGTTTTGTGTCTGTGTGTGCCATTCATGAGTTTTTATTTTTAAGGAGGCAAACTCACCAGCCTTTTCTTTTACAGATTCTGGACTTTGAATCTTTGTTAGAAAAGTCTTCCCCACTCCAAGGTTATAAAGGTTACCAATCTGCTAATCAAAATATGATTTAAAAAATTTTTTTAGAATTTGATAAATTGATTTTAATTTCATTTGCAAGACAAAGTGTGGGGCTTTCTAATAAAACACGAAGGCTGAGCACATGTATTTATTTCTCTTTCTCTATTTTTCCCCCATTTAAACTAGAGTAAAGGAACAGATTCTTAAAGACAAAGGGAGAGGAAATAATAGATAAAAGCTGTCAACAAAATTCTGGAAGATGGAAAGGGGTGAATGAATTATAACTGACAGATTTCAGCTTTCTTCCCTCTGTTAACTTCTTGGTCAGGTGGGGAAGGGAGCTGCAGAACTTCAGAAAGGCTCAGTACTGTCAACACCAGCTACCTTGGAAAGCAGCAGTGTGTATGCAGTAGAAAACATGAATTTGTTGAAAGTCTTGGGTCTAGACTTTAGTTCAGCATCTCTTAATATTGGCACTATTGACATTTTGGATGAGATAACTCTGTGTGTATGTGGGCGGCAATCTCTATCTTTTAATTATAGTATTTAGACATTTACATTTAATGCAATATTAATATGTTATGTCTTAAGTCAACCATTTTGTTTTCTATTTCTTTGGCGTTTTTTTCCTGCCTTTTTGAAAATATTTTGCAATTCCATTTTGGTTAATCTATAATGTTTTTGCCTGTATTTCTTTTTATAGCTTTTTTAGTGGTTACTCTAAATTATATATATATAATATTATATATATATAATTACACACATATGTATATACAAATTATAACAGTCTACTGGTATCATATTTTACCAGTGTCAGTGAAATACAGAAACCTTATGTCACTTTTACTTTTACCTTCCTCTGTTAATAATATAGTGATCTTAGGGAGGGAGGGAGATGCAAGAGGGAGGAGATATGGGAACATATGTATATGTATGACTGATTCACTTTGTTATAAAGCAGAAACTAACACACCATTGTAAAGCAATTATACCCCAATAAAGATGTTAAAAAAATAATAATATAGTGATCTTAAATTTTTCTTCTACATATATTTAGAACAACAGTGTAATAATTTTTGATTCAGCCATCAAATATGATGTAGAAAACTCAAGGAAAATCCATTTTATTCATTTATATTTTTGCTCAGTCATGATATTTCCTCCATAATTCCTTTATTTTTCTTTTCTGTTTAGAAAACTTACTTTAGCCATTCTTTTAGGGTAAGTCTTACAAATTCTCTTAGTTTTCCTTTATCATAGAATGTCTTGATTTCTCCTTCATTCCTGAAGCATATTTTCACTGGATATAAGTATTCTGGGATGATAGTTCTTTACTTTCAGTATTTGAACAGTATTATGCCTCTTCCTTCTGGTCTCCATAGTTTCTGATGAAAAATGCTCTGTTATTTGAATTGTTTACCCTTATAGCTAAGGTTCATTTTGCTCTTGCTGCTTTCAAGATATCTTTCTTTTAGTTTTTGGAACTTTGACTATGATGTGTCTTGATGTGGATTTCTTTGGGTTCATCTTGCTTGACATTAATCTGGTCTCTTGAATCTGTTTATACCTTTTGACAAATTTGGGGAATTTTCAGCCATTATTTCTTCAAGTACATTTTCAGTTCTGTCCTCTTTCTCCTCTCCTGGGAAGACATGAATGTCAGATCTTTTGTTATAGTCTCACATGTCCCTAAAACTCTATTTATTTTTGGTCTATTTCCTCTCTGTTATTCAGATTGGGTAATTTTTGTTGTAACTTCCAGTTTGCTGATTCTTTCCTTTGCTCCTTTCCTTCTGGTGTTGATTCTATCTACTGTGTTTTTAATTCTGGTTGTTATATTTTTCATTTCTAACATTTCTTTTTAGTTCTTCTTTCTATCTTCTGTTTCTCTACTGAGACTCTATTTTTTTCATTTGCTTCAAGTGTGTCTGTAATTGCCTGTTGAAAATTTTTATGATAGGGGTTTTAAAATCTTTGTCAGATAATTCTCCCATCTCTGTCATTCTAGTATTGGCATCTATTGATTTTCTTTTTTCATTTAGTTTGAGATTGTCATTGTCCTTGGTATGATGAGCGATTTTGATTGAAACTTGGACATTTGGGGTATTAAGAGACTCTGGATATTATTTAAATCTTCCAATTTAGCATGCTTTACCTGATAATGCTTCAGGAGGGGAAGAGGTGGGTGCTGCTTCATTACTACCAAGTGTGATAGAAATCCAGGTTCCCTACTCAGCTTTTATTGACATCTAAGGTAAGTAGGGGAGTGGAGAGAGTTCTTCATTACTGCTGGGTGAGGATGGGAATTCTAGTGCCACTGTAGGCCTCTAAGGATACCTCCCTGGTTGGGAGTGATAGGAGTGCCTCATTATTGCTCCCCAGGTGGCCTCCACTAACACCAGGGTTAGGGGTGGCTTTGTTAATGGTAGGTGGTGTTGAGAGCTCTGACTTTCCACTAGACCTCTCTGACAACACCCCAGAAGGGGATAAAAGAGGGTCCCTTGTTATTGCTGCATCACGCAGACATACAAACTCTTCATGTGGTCTGACATGGACCTGACATGGGGCTGACACTGACACTGTAGTGCAGTCCTTGTTACTGCCTAGCAGGGAGGAAAGTCCTGGGTCCCAACTCAGACATTTTTGGCACCTTTCTGACAAGGGGTGGGCATTAGGTGCTTATTACAGCTCAGTGAAGATGGAATCTGGGCTCCCTTTGCTGGTGTTAGTAGGGGAGAGGTCACAGTGTTTTTGTGGGATTTGCCTGGTATACAGTATTTATTATTTAGATGTTTTCTGTCTTGCTAGACTGTACTTTTCTTGATACCTTATTAGATAGAGAAGGTTTTTGTTAGGGCTTAAATTTTTCTTTTTTATTTTCCGGTTGGTACCCTTGGATGTCTGGATACCAATCCAAAGATGACAGAGAGACACAAAGTGAGCATATGCTGTTGGAAAAATGGCACCAATAGATGTGCTCAACGGTTGCCACAAACCTTCAATTTGTAAAAATCACAGTATCTGCAAAGTGCAATAAAATGAGGTATGCCTGTATATTCAAACAGTAGAATACTATGAGATAATTTTAAAAATGGATGTTAACATTGATGTTCATTTTATATGGTTACCTAAAATAGTAGATTGTAGAGCAATATACATAATCTTAATCAATAAATAATGATATTACTATTCATTCTTATACCATCACACATACTTGAAAAAAAATCACAAAGAGAATTCACCAAACTATTAACAGTTGGCTAAATGTGGGTAGAGGGAAGAAGAGAAGGATTTTCACTTTTCAGTTTGTGTGCTTCTATATTGTTTGACGTTTTATGATTAGCATGTAGTACTTCTAAATTCACCAGAAAAAAAATAAGGTTACTCTTCCGAATGGAAAAGAAGAGCTCAATCCCACTGTTGCACAGGCAAACATGGCTTACCTTCTCAATGAGAATTTACTCCGTGAAATCAAACACCATTATTTCAGCTACTGGTGTCTTCATGGAATTCCTTTTAATCTTTGGTAAAGGTTTATCAAGCAGCTACTATATGTAGAGCTTAATCCTTCACTCCTTCTTGGAACTTTCTATTTAGTTCAAAGATCAGGACTTATATCTAATAAAATATAGAACAATGAAGGTAAAAAGGCCAAGTGCTTAATGACCAGTATAGGTATTATCACAAGGATTAAGATAAGAGCATAATCAATGAAATAGGTCATCAGGAAAGATTTGAGGAAGGCAGCAAGATATGAGTTGAGCCTTGAAGGAAGGGTAAGACTTAGACAAGGGAGGAGGAGGCACAGTGGGGAGAGAAAACAGGTGTGCAAGGCAGGAAAGCACAAGAAAAACAGCATAGGCCTGAACCTGTCCCTTCTTCACAAGCCCAACTACCAAGGTCTAATTCAGGGACACATCATTTGGAATATTTCTTCTTGTGCTGGTTACTTTCTTATTATCCTCTAAATCCATTGTTGGCCCTTCTTTTCCCTGCCCTGGACTCTGGACAGCTGACCTCTATAGCCTATAGCACCCAAGTCTTCTGCCTTCCTTGTGGTTGGGTTCAGCCAATGTTCTGGCAGGAAGTGGGAGGATGGGAGGAGAAAGAGGCTAGGGTATTTCCTCACTACTCCTTCCTTGCTTTGGTGGTATTCTGACAATGGCTGTGACCCTCTATGACCAAGCTTCTGCAGGCAGCCCTTCTTTAGCTCCAGCAGAACTTTCAGCCAAGGGATAGTCATAGTTCCTTTAAACGTGGCCACACCTCTGTAAATAGCCCCTTTATGAAACAGCCTATTCAAAGTTTCAAAATTGAGTGTGCATCTATTTCCTTCCAGAACCATGACTCCTCTTACCTGGCCTCTGCCTCTAATCTCTCCATCAACCATCAATTCACACTCCACATTGTCATTATACTGATTGTATGCAGTGTCTGATAGAAGTATACTGAAACAAGCAAGAGGGCGCCAACTATCTATTAGGGAAAAGTTCACATAATCGGTGATTGGGCAACAGTGTTGTGGTCTGGGAGAATGGGGTGGAGGTGTGCTAGGTTCCCGGCGGGTGGGGGGAAAGGCATACTGGCTAACGACCCTGACAGCTACCCAATAGAGTTGAGACAGGCTGGGACCTGGGACTTTTTGCTGCAGTGCCTGCAAGCGGACAAATGTCTCCTCGAGCAAAAAAATACAAAGAAACTATAAGGGACTAAAAATTCGACTACATGCAGGCGCAACTGGGGCAAATTATGAACAACATACAAAAAGACCAAAAAGCCACACAGCACCACCAAGGGGGTGGGCAGACCACCCCGACCCCTGGACCCACCCCTATCCTCACCCCATATAAGGAAACGGCTCCCCCTGCCCCCGGAGTGAGCAAGGGAACTTGTTACTTGTTTTCACTCCCTCCTGCTGCAGCAGGGGTTCCAATAAAGCCCTGCCTGAATTTCTTGTCTGGCCTCTTATCAATTTCTATTGATTAAGGAAGCCAAGAACCCTGGTCAGTAACAGAGTGAATTTATACCAGTTCACCATCTGGCTGTTAGTTTCAAAGACACAGTATCACAAAATGCCAGCGTATTGAGAGCGGATCCACTTCCCAAAGGGTGTCTTGCATGATCCATTATAAGCCCTCTAAGAACATGTCTATTAATTCAAGTCTTCTTTATTTCATCCAATATAGTTGGGTCATTTCTTTAACATCAGAAAATGGTACTTGGCCAACAATTTAGCTAGTTCACTCTATGGTACTTTTAAAGAGCAAAAAAAGTTCTTCCACTTAAAAAGAAATGCAAACTACTCAGAGGTGTCAGGTCAGTAGCTGCAATGGGTCCTGTCAAAAACAACACCAAAGATTATGGGAATGATTAATGTGGTGGGGTGTTGACTTCATTAGGATTAACTGGACACGAATCAGGAAAATATGAAAATAATGTCTTGTATACTATAGGCAGTCTCCACAGATCAGAGTATAAACCAATGCCAACACCACCTAATCATTCCCAATCCCAGTGGTTTTCAACTCATGTCCTTAAAACGCCTTACCAGGGTGTCAATGCCATGCTGGGAAAAAAAAATACATAAAGCATTGTGTTCTTAAATAAGTTCTTGAAATGCTGAATGACACAAAGCTCAACAGGTTTCTCTAGGGTGACCATGGGTCATCTTGTCCTGACTGGTTTAGTATTTATCCTAGACAAAAGTGACCCCATTTGTACAATAAACTCTTTTTTTTTTTTTTTTTTGGCCACACCTCGCTGCATGTGGAACTTCCCCAACCTGGGACTGAACCCGTGCCTCCTGCATTGGAAGCATGGAGTCTTAACCACTGGATCACCAGAGAAGTCTAGGACAATAAATTATACGGCACACTTTTTGTGTGTGATTTCTCAGAGTCTTTATTGTTAGATGCCAATATGCACCATGAATTTCTAACAAGAGGATTTAGTATGCATAGTATCCCAAACCTATCTGATCCCCAAACATTTTTTCCAGACCTAATGATATTTGCTCTTCTCTACACAGTTAGAACTGCACATGCCTCCCTCCTTTAAATATGTTTGCTTTACTCTCTAGAGACTTTGTATATATATATATATATATATATATATATTTGTGTGTGTGGGGGGGGGGTACACGGGCCTCTCACTGTTGTGGCCTCTCCCGTTGCGGAGCACAGGCTCCGGACGCGCAGGCTCAGTGGCCATGGCTCACGGGCCCAGTTGCTCCGCGGAATCCTCCCAGACCACGGCTCGAACCCGTGTCCCCTGCATTAACAGGCAGATTCTCAACCACTGCGCCACCAGGGAAGCCCCAACAAATGTTTCCTGAGCACCTATTGTGTGTCAAGCACTAAGACTATAACAATGGATAAACGTAACAAAAAAAACTCCGCTCTCAGAGATTTAATCTAGTGGGAGAAGACCATAACAACAAAACCCACACATATATGTATGTCCAGTGAATAACGGTTATGAAGAAGATAAAGAAGATAAGGCTCAAGTTGCAGGGTAGGTGGTTGAATTTTACACGGGGTGGTCAGGGACAGCCTCTCTGCTAAGGTGACTGCAGGGAAGAGACCTGAAGGCACTGAAGAAGAAAGCCATGTGTTTAACTGGGCAAAAAGTTTTCCATGCAAAAGGAACAGCATGCCCAAAGTCCATCAAAGAGGATGGTGCTACACCAGGCGGCTGGGGCCGAATGAGCCAGGGGCAGGGTTTTATAAGGACACAAAGGTTAGAAAGGAAATATGGGGCAGTTCATGTTGGAACTCATAGGGATGGCTAGGATTTGGGATTTTATCCTGACTGATATGGAAGGCCACTGGAGGGGTTTGACTTACTTATGAAGAGGCCCGCACTCACTGCTGGCAAGAGGGTAGGGGAACAAGGATGGAAGCAGGGTGACCAGGTAGGCACTACAATGATAGGAGGAGAGGTGATGGTGGCTTGGATTAAGGTATGGCGATGGAGGTGGTAAGCAACTGTTCATGTTCTGGACATAGATTTCGTATAGAACCAATAGGATTATTGATGAATTATATGTGATATGTAAGAATAACTCCAAGGCTTTAAGAAACTGGAACGATGGATCTGCCATTTACTTAGATGGGGAAGATGATGGAAATCTGAAGTTTGGTTTTAGACATACTAGGTAATGAAGTGCCGATCAGGACACCTGTTAAGCAGAGATGTCCAGCAGGCAGTTAGATGTACAATTATGAGATCCGGCTGAAGATATAATTTGGGGAGTAATCGACATTTATTTAAAGGCACGTTTGTTTACTCAGGGAGTGAGTGAATTTGGGAGGAGGCCTCATTGAGTTTGGAGGTCTGGAAGATGAAATGGAACCAGCAAAGTTTGGGACTAATAGACCTACGGGTAGACAGCTACGGGAGTGATGTCACAATAAGCGATTTGTCAAATTATTTTCATTGATGAGATTTCAGTCCCAGAAACACCCTTATGAGAAGTTTCTGACTCGAGATTTTAATGAATGTTGTAAGAACGCAGAATGAACCTTGAGTTTCCTGAGCGGAATCCTTTTCACCCCCCCCCCCCAGGTTTTTGTTTTTTTTTTTAAGGGAGGAGCGCGTCTCGCTGCCCGAGTCCTAACCGTCTCAGAAAGTTGCCAGGGCCACTACCGAAGCGTGATACGCAGGCACCCTCGCCCCTAACGACTGACCAGGCCGGGGGCGGGGGTGAGGGGAAGGGCGAGGGTAGCGGGGTGGCGTGGGGAAGGTAAAGGGGTGGGCGGGGCCATGAAACCCTGAAGCCAGCTCTAACCAATGAGCGGTGAGAAGGTCGTGGGAAGGGGGTGCCAGCAGGTAGCCAATTTCCCGGGACGTGGAAGGGGCCGCTGCAGCGAGGGACCCCCTCCAATCCCGCTGAGCACCAGTGGACAGGGACTCACCTCGAGCCATGGACCCCCTCGGTGCTGTAACCCCGAGTGTCCTGGCTGTACGGACAGCTCAGTTCTCATCCGGAGGGAGCCTCAAAATTCTAGGGCTAGGCAACCGGAAGTCTACGAACCGCTCTGGCCCGGCAGCCTGGGAGACCGAGACCGAGTCATCCGGGGCTGGCGCATGCGCACTCGTAGGCCCGCTCTTCCCGGAAGCCCGAGCAGAGACCAGTGGGATTCCTGGGCCCAGCTTCCTTTTTCTCGGTCGCGGAGTGTTTGTTCTCCCGGATTGGCGTTTCCCAGCTGCTGCCACTGTTAGTGAGAAGCATAGCCGGCAAGTTTCCTGAGTCAGGAAATGGTCCTTTAAAATAACGCTCTTCAAATTTGAACTTGCAGCGGAATCTTTCGGGGATCTTGGTATATAATGCAGCTCGGGATTCGGTAGGTAGTGGTGGGGTCCCACTTTCTGCATTCCTAAGGTCTTCCCAAGCAGTAACGATCCTTTTGGTCCCTGAAGGACGCTGAGTAGCAAGGCAGTAGGAACAGTTGAGCGTGGATGCTGGCCTTGGCGACCTTAGGAAGGACCCTGTGCATGCACAGAAACTTGTCCCGGCTAATAAAAGGACAGTTTGAACGCGACTCCAACACGAGAGTAATTAAAAATGTTTTTCTTCACGAACTAAATATACACAATGCACTTTTTCCTTTATGTTACATATTCATTGTAGAAATCTCATAAATGAGGTTTGTAAACTGATATCCATTGATGTCAGGTACTACTGAAACTGCTAGGTGGCGTTTTCTTTTTTTTGGGGGGGGGGCGCTCCCAGGAGCTCTGCTCCTTTATGTCTCAGGGCAGAAAGAATTCAGCCAGAGGCAAAGTGATGGATAAGAAGTGACTTATTAGAATAGGACGCTTGTGAGGCATACAGGCGGGCAGGCGAGTGTTGTGCTGCCCCGAGTACTTCGTGGGTTACATTTTTATAATCAAAGGAAAAGTGGGGAGGGGGAAAAGACCACCTTCTTCCTCATTCTTGAGTAGATGTCATGTTTCCATCATCAGCTCCTCCTCCAGGTTGGGCAGGGGAGTTTTTCTTGTCCCTACATGGTCAAGCCGGGACTGTCATGGCACTATGGAAAAATTATTTTAGGTCTCAGTACAATGAGGGTCTTTCACTTTGAAGTGTCACCTTTCCATAAATTATTGTTTTTTATGTGTACAGAGAGCATGTCCTAGGAGTCATTAACTTACTGAGCTCACTGGGCAGGATGTGAGTCTCATGCTACCATTGTTTTATTGTTTTGAGGCATGCCTCATACTTCTGTTGTATGGTTTTGTGGTTAGGCAAACCTGCATTCTTGAGCGATCATTAACTTACTGTGGTCTCCCAAAGCCCCCTAAAGTTCCCTCTTTATCTACAATCCCCTAATGGGATTTCTGAGCTATTTGATTATCCTACTCTATCCCTATCAGTTTTTTCTTTTGAAGTAAAAATGAAATGAACATCTTAAATGTATATTTGCTGAGTTTTGACAAACGCAAACACCTTTGTAACTCAAATCCTATTGAGATATAGAACATTACCAGCACCCCAGAAAGTTCCTAAATGCTCCTTCCCAGTCAGTCCCCACCCAACCCAAGAGGCAACCACTACTCTGATTTTTTCTCCCACCACAATTAGTTTTGTCTGTTCCAAAACTTCATATGGATGGAATTATACAGTAGGTACATTTGTGTAAGGCTTCTTTCAGTATAAAGATTCATCCATGTTTTTGTGTGTATCAGTAATTTCTTTTTTTTGCTTAGTTGTATTCCACTGTGACTATACCACAGTGACTGCTGTAGTCCACTGTGACTATACCACAGTTCTTCCATTCCTCTTTTGATGGAGATGTGGGCTGTTTGCAGTTTTTAAACTGTTATGAATAAGGCTGCTATGAACATTCTTGTACAAGCATTTCTCATGACTATATTTCTTCAGTAAGTATTTATTAAGCACTGTGTTCCAAACACTTCCAGGTATTAGAGATACAGCTATGAACAAGACAAAGATGTCCCATTTCTCAAAGAGCTTATATCTCCTTGTTTCTGTGTATCTATGGAGGCAAGGGGATAGGCTGGGGGAGGAGGTAAATGTAGGTAACTATGAAAGAAAAATACCAGATAGTGATAATTGCTGGGTAGAGAAGTAAATAAGGTGATGTGAGTGATCGGGTAGCTATGTTTCCTAGATTGCGCAGCCAATTTCTTTGTGAGGAAGTGACTTTTAAAGTGTGAACAAAATTAGAATAAGATCAAAAGGGAACAGCATTCTAGGAAGAGGAAGCAGGTGGTACAATGGCCCTAAGCCTGTTTTAGGATAGAAAAAAAAAAAAAAAAAAGCCTATGTGCTGAATGAAGAAAACTTAAATTATATCAGCAGTGAAGAGCAAGAGAGCCAGTTTCCCCCAAAATTTAACCATCGTTACTCTGGCCGATTGGACAGATTAGGATGCCACTTTCTTTTTATTTATTTATTTTGGCTGTGTTGGGTCTTCTGGCTGCGCACAGGCTTTCTCTAGTTGCAACGAGCAGGGGCTACTTTTCGTTTCAGTGCGTGGGCTTCTCATTGCGGTGGCTTCTCTTGTTGTGGAGCCCGGGCTCTAGGTACGCGGGCTTCAGTAGTTGTGGTTCACAGGTTCTAGAGCGCAGGCTCAGTAGTTGTGGCTCATGGGCTTAGTTGCTCCGCGGCATGTGGGATCCTCCCAGACCAGGGATCGAACCCGTGTCCCCTGTATTGGCAGGCGGATTCTTAGCCACTGCGCCACCAGGGAAGTACCTAGGATGCCACTTTAACCTAGTTTTATCAGATTACTAATAAAGATGAATATTTCTTCATATCATGCTCTTTTATTGTGAATTACCTGTTTATATCCCTTGCCTGCTTTTCTATTGCCACCTGCATCTTTTTTTCCTAGCAATTATTTTGTCTTCTGCATAAGACTATAGTCCAGGGCGATGAGGCCTATGTTTATTTCACTTTACAGAGGGCTTGGCACTTACCTATTTCTAACGAGTAAACAGTAAATATTTGTAAATTTTACCCTGTGTCGGCAAGGTTAGTTCAAGACTATTTACATATTCAACTTTAGAAGTCGACTGGACAGAATTAGGGAAAAAAGCGTGAACTTTAAATGTCCCCTCTTAGCCAGCCTTCAGATGCGATGTGTTTGAGTAAGGTATCTATCCAGGAGACTCCAAATGTCTGACCACCACCACCTGGTACCCATACTTTAGAAGTATTTCAATAACCCCAGAGTCACACGCGAGCGGGAAATACTCATTGACAGCCAAGCTTCCAGGGGCTGCCGCGTTCAGACTTCCGGTGTGAGCCCCGCGCAGGCGCTGATTAACTGTCGTCAGTGCCGCCGGACCCTGGGGCCAAAGCCACTTCCCATAATGCTGCGTAGCGGAAGTTGTTGCTTTCTAGGGGTCACGCTGGCTTCCGCTTTGTCGCTCTCAATTCGTCACCCGGAGGAAGACGGAGCAGGCTGCCCAGCCCGAGGGCCCATTAAGGGATACAGTTATGGGCGCTGTCGCCGTGGGTGAGTTCTGCTCCCACTGCCTCGCAGTCACCGCTCGCACGACTTCCTGCGCGCCGGGAGTTCGAATTTCCTGCCCGACTCCGTTCTCCTCTTGAAGGCCCTCGTTCTTAAGCACGTTCCCTGGCCTCGGCCCGGTACCGCGTTCTCATTGGCCTCATGTCCTGTCCGTTCCAGGAGCTGACCAATGAGTTGTTGGTGCTGGCGCCCTCCTCGACCCGGTGGACCCCGAGGTTCCCCAGTGGGTGTGGAGCAGTTGGAAGGGAAAGGGAGATGTGGCGAGCGCTGCGCGGCTAGGGGCACCTTATGGGTTGGGGCTGAGTTGGCTGCCGCGTCCGTATGTTGGTTAGTAGGATAGGCAGCATCTGTCACCTAACCAATTCAGTGCTCCCAGGGTAGGATAAATGTACGCAAAACTTGAAGCCGTGTTCTAGTCTTGCAAAGTTTTCCAGACGCTTGCATTTTTAATGGAACCGAGGGAAGACTGGGAGGGCGGAGAGGGAAGGGAACTGGATAATATGAGAGCCGGCAAAACCAGCTCTGATTTAAATTTTGTGTGGAGTCCTGCAAAAAGTAACGCTCATCTGAAGACTCGTCTGAAAAATTGTATAGATTTATTGATGTATTATAGCTGATGGTACTCACAGTACTCTCTTTTCACGACTCATTAGATGCCCTTTATAGTTGTCAAAAATTTATTGGAGGGGCTTCCTTGGTGGCGCAGTGGTTAAGAATCCGCCTGCCAATGCAGGGGACGTGGGTTCGAGCCCTGGTCCGGGAAGATCCCACATGCCGCGGAGCAGCTAAGCCGGTGCACCACAGCTACTGAGCCTGCGCTCTAGAGCCTGCGCTCTAGAGCCCGCGAACCACAACTACTGAGCCCACGTGCCATAACTGCTGAAGCCTGCGCGCCTAGAGCCCGTGCTCCGCAACAGGAGAAGCCACTGCAGTGAGCAGCCCGCGCACCACACGGAACGTAGTCCCCGCTCGCCGCAACTAGACAGAGCCCGCACACAGCAACGAATACCCAACACAGCCAAAAAATAAAAATAAATAAAATAAATTAAAAATAATTTATTGGAGCTTTTCCACATCATTGAAGCAACCCCCTTACTGTCCTCTGCCTGCAGCAATTACAGTTCGTCTTTCAAGTTTTACTTTGGAGTCTGGGCTACTGCAGTCCTCAAACCAGATTTGCTAGTGCTGTCTTCACTACTGCAGATTTCTTCATTCTTTACCTTTCTCTTTTTCACTGGAACTTGTGTGCTTCATTCTTATGTACCTACCTTTGCACCTTATAATCATTCTTAATTCCTCAGGTACTATTATCTTTTTCTATTTCAATGCAAGAAGTATTTCTTGACCTACTATGTACTAACACTATGCTAAATGCTATAGGCGATTCAGAAGTAACACTGAAAACCATTTCTTGCTTCTAGAACTTTAGATTCCAGATAGGGAAATAACACATGTCCAGGTTAAAGATTTAAGAAGCAGCCCACTTATGTATCTGATTAGGGTACAAGATGAATAGTGCACACTAGCTGGGGAAGTAGAGTTGAG